TAAAAACATTGATTTATTTACGTGTTGTGCAGGTGGATTTATTGCTCTGTGGTGCTTCCTCACCCCCAGTGCAGGGGCTGTGGGGCAGTGAGTGTGTCCTGTAGCCCATCCCAGCAGCATTCCCAGACTGGGATGAGATGAGGGATACTCCCTGCCCTTCCCAAAGCCGTGGCTGTGCCCTGGAAGGGCAGGGGATGGGCATCATTCCCATCCTGACTTTTCCCAGCTCCCTCATGCTGCTCCAAGGGCTGGACCGGTGGGGTGTGATGAGTTTGTCCATCCTGAGCCAAAGGATGAGCAATGCCACCACCCTGAGGGGACCTGGTGTCACCTCTGCCCATGGGAGGTCCCGGCCTGGCAGAGCCAGAGCCACCAGCTGAGCTGTGGTGTGGTTGTTTCAAAGTGTTACAACAGGAAAAATTTGGGTTTAATGACTGCCTCAGCCTTCATGGAATATAAAAGTCTTACAGTTAATTGAAACAAGCTGGAAATGTGATTTTTTTCAGAGTGAACAGAGGAAGCTGGGGAGAAAAAAGGGCTTTGTGCTGTTCCCTGTGCCACTTGCTGTGCAGCCTTATTGCTTCAGGCTGGAGCTGTGTCTGCTGTCCCAGGGCTGTCACCTTTGCACACCACTCCAGGAAGGAAGGAAGGCTCAAAAATGCACATAAAATCACAGAACCATAGACTCACAGAATGGCCTGGGTTGGAAAGGACATTAAAGCTCATCTCATTCCATCCTCTTCCATGGGCAGGGACACCTTCCACTAGCCCATGGTTGCTCCACGCCTTGTCCAGCCTGGCCTTGGACACTTCTTTACTCCTTGGATGCTTGGGAATGGCTCCAGTTCTTTGGGGTGTTTTACAGAGCCCTTGGTGGATTATCCAGACCCTGCTGGGGACCCTGGGAAGGCGTAACAGTGATTTTCCCCAGTCACCACTTGTGACATGAGGTGGTATCGATGGCCCTGGGGGATGCTGGTGGTGGGACACTGTTGGTGACAGGAGGACTGCTGCAGGCACTCACTGCTCTCCATATTTTCCATATTATTTCCCAAATTTTCCATTTTTTCCCAGATGTACCCCTTCTGTTTTCCAAAGCAGTGTGAGCCACAACTTCCCACAGTGCAGCAGTGCTGGTCCCTGCCCTCTCCCACTGCCTGGTGCTGGGCCTGGATGGTGCCTCATGGCAGGACCATGACCTTCCCTTTGGTCAATGCCAAGCCCCTTTTTCTTAGCTTTTACCTCTTTTTTACTGTTTTAGCAAGGTAGGGATGGAGCTCAGCTGGAGGAGAAAGAAGCAGCAGATTCAACTTGAGTTTTAGGAGTGATCATCTGACCCAGCACTCCTTGAATGTCTTGAAAACAAGAAATGAGATAAAAATCCTCTGAGACAGAGCACTCCCCTCATTTACCTTGGCCTATTTATAAACTGTTTGGAAGGGTCATGATAACGCAGGCAGGATGCGGCGTCCCTGCGGGGGACATTCCCAGCCCAGGGATAAACTGTTTGGGTTATTCAGGAAGTGTTAGAGCTGCTCACAGAAGCTGGAAAGTTTTGCTAAGAATGAGATTGGGAAGAATGAGGGGTCTGGCTTGATGGCCCCAAGAATGCATCCAGGGAATTTACACTGGATTTGGGATTTAGGAGAGCTGATGCTTCAGGGGGAGCCCAGGGATCAGCAGCAGCAATTCAGGGCAAATCAACACAAGATGGGTGAGGTGAAAGGGAAAAAATCCACCCACCAGCCCAATCCAGAGCTCATGTGGCCGTGGAGCTGGGAGGGGGTCACACTACAAAAGGGCAAATCCATGCTTGGAAAAAAGATCTTTGGGTCTGGGAATGACACTCCAGGGCTGGATCCTGCACCCCTGCCAGGGGCTGCTGACTTCCTGTGTGGATCCTGCCCACCATGGATCACATTATTTTATGATATTCTTTTATTCTTCCCTGTCTGGGGCTGCAGGAGGGGCTGGTTCAAGGTCAGAGCCTCTGGGGGTCCTCCTGTGTCCCAACCCCAGCCCCATTTCCCCTTCTCCACTTGCAGCCTCTCACTTTTAGTTCCAGGGCTCCCTGCCCACTGCAGGGTTCACATCCATGTGCCATATTTCTGATCTCTACATCCATTTTTCTGCTGCCTCCAAGCCCGTGACCTCTTCAGATGCTTTCAGTTTCTTTTTTTACCAGTTTTCCTCTTTTTTTGCAGAGTTTCTCTGGGCAAGGCCAGTGCTGCAAATATGGTACACTCCATCCTGGAGCTGCTGGGTCTCACTCTGGTCCTATTCTGCTCTGAGCACTTCACAGCTTCCCCAAAGGGATCCTGGGTGCTTCATTCACCTAATTCTGGTTTCCCAGGGCACACGGGGGAGATTTGCCCACGTTTGGAAGGCAGCTGCTGCTCCTCAGCCATAGAAATGTTCTGGCTAAACAGGTAATGTGCAAGACCTTGCAGGAAAACCCAAAAATTTTCACATAAGTTGGTGCCACCCGAGCTCCGGCGATGCCTCCTGGTGGGACCAAACCCAGGGGTGCCCAAAGCACTGGTACCAGTCAGAGGCTGGCACCAAAATCTCGGCTCAGGGCACCGTTCCCCTCTCCCTGGGACATTCTCTGGCCTCTCTCCGTGTGGGAGAGGCTCTGTTTGTGCAGGATTTGCATCCGAGGCCGCAGGAGGGGCTGTGGCACCTCTCGTCCCCATCCTGGCCCCACACCCGTTTCCTGCCCGCGGGGCCCAGCCGGGGGGGCCCGGCCTCGGCACCTGCCAGGACACGGGGGACAGGGATGGTGGCCCAAGGCCCTGGGAGACAGGGCAGGTGGCCCCAAGGCCCTGGGGGACAGGGATGGTGGCCCCAAGGCCCTGGGGGACAGGGATGGTGGCCCCAGTTTGCTCCCACAGGCCCCCCAGGGCACTGCCCTGATGCCCCCGAGTGCCCCCCAAGGCACAGCTCCCCCATGTCCACACATCCCTCACCTGCAGCACCCCCATGGCCCTGCCCCATGCAGCCCCCACCCCATGGCACTGCCCCCATGAAAAAGAACCCCCCCAAAAGCCATTACCTCTGTGCCTGCATGTCCCCCCAGTGTGTCCCCTCCCCACAGGACACAGCAGCTTGTCTCCTCTAATTTGGGGTGCTGGAGGTCCCCAAAGCCCCACGGGGAGGGGGGACACAGCCCCCACACCAGGGCCAGGAGCAGCTCAAGGGGATATTTGGGAACATAAGCAGGTTTTCCATTGTCCTGTCCTCCTTGTCCCCACATGGGACAGATACCTTCTGGTGCCATCGATGCCCCTGTCCTCCCCAGGTGCTCCCCAGCATTTTTCGGCAGCCACTCCAGACCCAACCTGTGATTTTGGAGTCGGCAGCAACACCAGGACAGTGTCCCCAGCCCTACATCACCTTGTCACCTGTGTGGTCACTCCACAGCTGGCAGTGGCCAAGATCCTCATCCCCACGTGCCATCCAGCCCCACCAGCACCACGGGGTCCCAGGCAGGTCCATCCCACCTCCCCACTGTCACCAGGATGTGGTCACCCTCTGCCTTTAGCTCAGGAGGAGTTTAGAAGCCCCCTTTCCAGGGCAGGCTGTGCATCTTCCACCCTCCCTGGGTTTCCTGCTGTGTTCTGGGGGTTTTCTGTCCCCCCATTACCCCCATGGAGTGCTGCAATGGCTCAAGCTCCTTCCCAGTTAGAGCAGAACAGTTTTTATTGGGCTGTTCAGGCTCACGGGCAGCCCTTGAGGGGCATGGCAGCTTCTTCCTTCTCTAATGCTGAATCTTTCAGACCTTTGAGGGGCACTGTGTTTGGGGGATTTTAGTGGTCCCCAACAACTCTGCTTGGGAGAAGCTCTTCCTTCTCAAACACCTGAATTAGCTAGAGGAGCATCTTCCTTCGTGGCTGCTCCCAAACCACCTGCCAAGCTCCTCTTAATGGGATCTCTGCTTCGGGTCAGCCTTGCCCGGCCTCCGAGGCCGAGGGCAGCTCCCAGCTGCTGAGTGTCAGCTCCAGCTGGGCCCCTGTGCCTGCATGACACAGAAATCGCCACATTTGCAAGGATTTGTTAGGCAAATCCCGCTGGCCACAGCAGAGGCACATGCAGCTGCCTGGCACGGGGCTGGGGAGACTCGCTCAGAGAATCCCCTCCCCTGAAGTGGGGGAATAGTGGGCATCACAGCCGGGGTGGGATCTGCACTGTGTTGCACCAAAACCCCTCAGATTCGGGGGTTTCCCCCCTTATTTTTGGTCCTGTGCAGCTGGGCTTGCAGGATGCTGGTTCCCACTGAGGGCTATCAAAAATCAGGAACTTGAAATACCAGCAAGAGCTCGCTTTGGGCTTCTCTGGCTTTACCAAATTCGGCTTGTTTTGGGGAAAAAGCCTTGGCCAGGTGGTGCGAGTGCAGGTGAGAGTTGGGACGTGCCATGGCGTTCTTTATCAGGGCTGAAGGAAAGGGGAGTGCAGGTGAGGAGGAGCCCGTGATGAACTTTTGCCCTGTTGGGTGAGAAAACCCCCGCTGCTTCCTGCTCCGGAGGCATGAAGTGGTTTTCCCCGGGGAGTTTCTGTGCCCACACCAGGACCTGGTCCCACGGGCGCCGTGCAGCCCTGGCTGTCCCCGTGTCCCCGAGCTGCCTGGGCAGAGCAGCCAAGGGCCAAGAGCTGCGGCAGGGCCGCGGCAGCAGAGCAGGAGCGGCTGCAGTCAGGACCTGCCCAGGGTCCAACCAGCTACTCTGGACTTGCTGCTTTTTCCAGACTCGTTATTTTTTACGGACTCACTCCTTCCCCGCAGACTGACTCCCTGTTTCTCCTGTTGGCAAGGGGAAGCAGCCAAGCACCGCGCCAGCCCCAGTGAACCCTCCTGGCAGCGTCACCGCCTTGACCTTTAGGGTGAGGGTTCCGGGCTAATGACTAACGACCACAGCGCCCAGGGTGGGGGTGTTTGGCCCGGGCTCCGGGGCTGTCCGGGCGATGAGCTCACGCCGCTGCCCGTGTCCGCTCGCACGGTGCCGCCGTGACGGCAGCGGCCGGGGAGGGCTCTGGGCAGGACGGGGACACGGAACCGGCCGGCAGCGGCCACCCCATGGCAGGCGAGAAGGAAGTGCCGCCCAGGGCCACTCCTCCTCACCATTTCCTCTCCGGGGCTGGTTTCTGTACGGATGAGAGCGGCCACAGAGGAGCTGCCGGCCCGTCCGAGGCCGCAGGCTGCGCTCGGCGGGCGGAGGGAAGCGCCGGTGACCGGCGCCGAGGGGACACCGCGGGTAACTGCGCTGGCATCGGCTCCCCGTCCTGCTCCCCACCTCGCAGGGGTCACCAGGGCACCCCAGGGCTACTTCCAGCTCCATCCCTGCCACCGCCTTCTGCTCCTCCCCAGTCGCTGCTTTCCAGCAAAAGCCGCCTCGGTTTTCCAGGGATGCTCTTGCTCCCGATGGTTTGGGATGCTTCAGGCTCTTCCCCTCCGCTTGCTGTCCTTCCCTTCGGACTTGGCTTCGGGGCCTGGCAAAACCTGGGGCTGGGCTGGTGGGGTTTGGTGGCGAACGGGCTGTCGCCGCTGTCACCCTGCGCCGTGTGCTGGGGAGGGTGGGCGCCTGCACCCGCCGAGAGTCAAACCGCGCTGCTCGGCTTCTTCCCAGACGGGGCCCCCGGGCAGCTGCGCTTCGGGATGCCGGGGCCGTGCTGGCCTCTGCCGACATGCCGGGGTTCTCCTCCCAGCCCTTATCTGCAGCCCCCACAGCAAGGGGCTGCTTTGTGCCACCTTCCCCAGGGAAATGTTCCCTTTTGGATGGAGGGTTTGGCTCCAGCTGGGGGTGCGGGATATCAATCCTTAGAATTTCCCAGCTGTTCCCTTTTCCCAGCAGCTTTGCTCATCCACAGAGGCTGAGCTCGGGTGCAGCCTCCCCGGCCGGGGGTACTTTAACCCAGGCCGCGGTTCTCCGCTGGCCTCTCCTGCCACCGGGGCTTTGCCGCCTGCCCGGGGCTGTCCCCATCCTGCTCCCCTCTCCCAGGCTGCCTCCGGCTGCCCACACAGGCGCCTCTGTTGTGGAAATGTTGTTTTGGAGCAGCAGGGTGCACGAATGCAAACACTGCAAGAGCTACAGCAGGAAAGCTGGAGGCTTCCCAGGAGTGTTTCCAAGTGCAAGTTTTCCTGTGGTGTCCAGGCTCAGCACAGAACAGAGATCAGCAGTGTTTACATGAACACTGGGATGCTGCAGTCTGAATTCCTGCCTTCTCTCTCCTGTTGTTTTCACCAAATAGTAAATTAAGCTGCCGAAAGTGCAGCATTGCAGGCTGGCACAGCCGCCTGCCCAGCCCTGGCCTGACACTGAGTGTGCAAAAGCTGCTCTTAGAAACTTCCAGTCCTATGTAAATACCAGCAGGTATTAGGGACTGAGTCATGGCATTAACAGGGTTATTACATTCATGACTGGACAGATTCCTTGCTCAGAATGGGGTTTTGTCCTTCCACCCTGCCTTGCTCAGCTCATCTGGAGGGTTGGGCGTCCCACACTGGTGGGATGGATGTGCTGGTGGGCTTTTGGGAAGAGGATCTTGAACACCTCCCAGCTGGCGAGCACTCGGTCCTCACCATTCCCCACGGGTTTTGCAGGGGCACTGGGCTCTCTGGAGGACGTGGCAGTGGCAGAGCAGGCTCTGGGCTCTGAGCAGCCACATCACTCCGTGTTTCAGCTGCAGCAGGACCTGGCTGTGGCCTGGCAATGTCCGTGGGGAGTGCTTGGGGTGTCCTGTGTTTCCCTGCCAGGAGCAGCCTCCCAGGCCTTGAAGGGAGCCCATGAAAAAGAGAGAAAAAAAGCAGGTCCTGTTATGACAGGACAAGAGGTGATGGTTTTAAATAGAATACAGTGGCTTTAGAGTAGAGATAAGGAAGTTTCTGAGAATTGAGGATGGTGAGGCCCTGGCACGGGTGCCCAGAATGGCTGCCCCACTCCAGGTCGGGTTGGATGGGGTTTGGAGCAGCCTGGGCTGGTGGGAGGTGTCCCTGCCCGTGGCAGGAGTTTGGAAGGAGATGGTCTTTGAAGGTTCCATCCAGCCATAACTATTCCATGATTCTGTGATCCTTCTGTTCTCTAAAACTTTTCCTGTAAATTTCCATAGCCTCTTCCCTGGCATTTAACCAATCCCCTCTTTACCTGCAAGGGCTTGGGGCTGCGAAAATATCACCCTGTGCTTGTGGAGATGTTTGTCAGTGCCTGGAGGGTTTTCTGATCCCTGGCTGAGCTCTGTGGTGTCCCTGATGCCTTGAGCCCATGCTGGTCTGAGCTGCAGGGGCTGCTCCCCAGTGGCTTTGGTGACAGCTGTCCCTTTGGGGAGCTGCAGGCACTATGTGAGCAAGGTGATGCCGGATGGAGAGGAGCAAGGCTGTGACTGCAGGTGGTGTGGGGACAGCCCAGGGCTCCCGGTGGCATCCTTTGGGTGGCATCGCAGTGATGGTGGCATCCAGCCCTTCTTCCTGGTGCTGCCCCAGGGCCTCCTTGCCAGATCCCATCTGGCTGGTTTTGTCTTTGCACACCAAACCCTGCACAGGGTCAGGAACTAGGTCAGCAATTAGCACTCGGGGTTAATTGCTGCCAGCAGTGGCAGCTCCAGCAATGATGGCTGAGCTCACTGGCTGCCCTCACACTCCAGAAATCAGCTTGTGCACAGAGTGGGAGTGAAGCTTTGCATTTCAGAGCAGCCAGGGCGGGTGTGGGGTGAAGCAGGGGGGCAGAGGGAGCATTTCCAGGGCCCGTGGCTCCCCCACAGCCCCGGGCTGCCCTGGGGCTCGGTGGGTGACGGAGCCGCTTTGCGCAGGGGAAGTAAAGCCTCGTCCAGAGCGTGACTTCGTGCAGGTTGGTGGCTTCCTGCTGAGCTGCAGCGAGTTAATAACAAACTTCCCGACCTCCCTGCTCCCTCCAGGGTCGTGGTGCCTTTGGCAAGACCTGGTGTTGATTTTTAAGGATGGCTGATGAAAGTGGCATTTCCTCACGCTGCCTGTGCTGGCTCCGGGCTCTGGGGCTGGCAGTGCCACAGCAGCAAACTGTCCCTTGTGTCAGCCCTGCTGCAGCCCAGAGGTGTCAGAAAAGTGCCCTTCCACCATGACACAGCCTCTGCCACCTCCAGCCTTGTGCCAGGCAGGGCCAGGGCAGCACATGGGGCTGCATCCAGCCTGCAGAGCTGTGTTCTGCCAGGGGTTCCCTGCTGGGTCTGTGCCTCTTGTCACATCCCTCTGGCCTCTCCTTCTTGTTGCCAGCTGAGGTTTGTCCATTCAGATGGTTATCCCAGGATGACCATGTCCCTGAGCTCTCCTGTGCAGCTCCAGGGTCTCATGGGGCAGCCCCTGTGTCCCTCCTGCATGTCCAGGGGTGTGTGGGCACACAGGGCATGGAAGGTCCATGGGGGTGGCAGGGTTGGGGTTCTGTGGGGCTGCCCCACTCCTCTCCCCACAGTCATGTGCTGCTGGCAGGCTCAGGCACAGCCACGCTGGCTCTCTGCAGCCCCTTTGAGCCTTCCCATCCAGGGCAGCTCTCATCTCCCCTCCCTGCCAGGCACGTCCATCAGCACAGCCAGGAAAATCCTCCCTGGGAGGTGCCACCACAGCCAGGATGGCAACCACAGCAAGTTACTCCCACAGCCCGAGAGGTGTCTGTGGGTGGATGAGTGACTCCCCACAGGGTGTGTACGTGCCTGTGTGCATGTGCTGGCACAGAGGTGGGGCTTTGTGTCTTCCTTGAATTTAGCAGGTGTAGGGAAAGAGGACTGGGCAGCTGTGGTTCAGAGCATGGCTCAGTCTGTCCTGCTGTCCTGCCTCCTTTTCACAGCAGAGCTTTTGGCTTTGGCCCCAGCCAGCTCTGACCTTCCCTTCTGCATCTGAAGGCTGGGTTGGGTTTGTGTTATAACATCACTTTGCATTAATTGACACTGAGGAATGACTGAGGGAGCTGGGGGTGTTCAGCCTGGAGAAAAGGAGACTCAGGGGTGCCCTCATCACTCTGCACAGCTCCTGAAAGGTGCCTGTGCTCAGCTGGGGCTGGGCTCTTTCTCCAGGCAGCACTGACACAACCAGAGCACACAGCCTCAAGCTGGGCCAAGGGAAATTTAGGTTGGATGTTAGGAATAAGTTTTTTACAGAAAGAATGATAAGGTTCTGGAATGGCTGCCCAGGGAGGGGGTGCAGTCACCATCCCTGGGTGTGTTTAACAAAGCCTGGATGTGGCACTGGGTGCCAGGGCTGAGTTGAGGGGTTGGGGCTGGGTTGGACTCAAGGATCTTGAAGATCTCTTCCAGTCCAGTCATTCTGTGAATTCTGTGAATTTCATCTGTAGTTTTGCACATCTCTCCCAACTTCCAGAAAGTCAGCTTAGGTCTGAAAGTCTCTGCCACCTTGCCATTGCTGGTTGCTGCAGGTTTCTGCCCACTGGAAAGGGGGATATCTGTCTAATTCCACTGTTATTGGTCATTTCCTGATATTAGGAAGGTTGATTTTACATAATTCCTTTTCTTTTTAGAAAGAAGATGATGTGAATGGGCTGTAAGAACCAGAAGACATGGAGGAAGAGCTGCCCTGCTCTCAGGTGGATGGAAAAAGTGTCCTCAGAGGGGTGGAGATGCTCTGCATGGAGAGCAATCCCACAGGAGACACATCTGGAGCAGTGGAGGATGCAGGAGAGGTGCCCTGTGCTGAGAGCAGCACAAAAGAAGAGGCTCCTTGTGAGCCAGGAATTGTCTTCACTGAGGACAGCGTGGAAGGAGAGACACAGGGCAGTTCCAGTGATGGGGAAGGGGACATTCCTGGCAGTGGCAGTGGCAGGGAAGGGGGGATTCCTGGCAGTGGCAGTGGCAGGGAAGGGGGGATTCCTGGCAGTGGCAGTGACAGGGAAGGGGAGATTCCTGGCAGTGGCAGTGGCAGTGACAGGGAAGGGGAGGTTCCTGGCAGTGGCAGGGAAGGGGAGATTCCTGTCACCGACAGCGATGGGGAAGGGGAGATTGCCGTCACTGATAGTGACAGGGAAGGGGAAATGCCCTGTGATGCGAAAGAAGAGGCGTCTTGCTCGGAGAGTGAGGCAGAGGAAGTACCAGATGCTGTGATCCCTGCTGCTTCCAAGAAAATCACTTCCATTTCCTCTCCCCTGCGGGCCTTCGTCCGCCTGCGCCGGCGCTACTGGGGGCTGAAGAAAAGCCGTCTGCATTTAGAGTTGCCTCGGGAAAAGTCTGCCGAGTTTGTCCACACCAGGCTGCTCCAAAGGCAGCTCTCCCTGAACAGAACTTCCCTGTACAGCCCTTCCATGTCCTTCTTTAATCAGTCTGGCTTTGAGAGCTCCCAGTACTTCACCTTTGACACGTCTGTGGAACATTACTCCGTGAAAAAGTGCAGGCGGAAAAAAAGCCGGAGGAAATCCAGGATGGTTCTCTACCCAGATAAAACAAAAAAATACCTCCCAGCAGAGGAGAAGAGCAAGGCAAAGCGCTGCCTCCTCTTGCTCATTGCCATTATCTTCTTCCAGATTCTCAATGCAATAGAGAACCTGGATGATAACCTCCAAAAATACGACCTGGATGGTTTGGAGAAAACCATGCACCGGGAAGTATTTGGGCAGAAGGTTGCTGTGGAAGGTATTGTGGAATTGTTGAAAGACTATCTGGCTACCCACATCCACAACAAGCCTCTGGTGATCTCTCTGAACGGCCCCACAGGGGTTGGGAAGAGCCACGTTGGCTGGGTGCTGGCCAAACACTTTCGCTCTGTCATGGACAATGACTTTGTGCTCCAGTACTTTGTGATGCATCACTGCCCCAGCGGGGTGGCTCCCCTCACCTGTGAAATAGATCTGTCCAAGAAGATTTCTGACATGGTTACCAGAGCTGAAATAGAGGAAAAGACCCCACTGTTTATTCTGGATGAGGTTGAGCTCATGTCCCCCGTCCTGCTGGACACTCTCAGCCGATTCTTTGAACCCAATCAAACCAACGAGTTCCTCAATGCCATCTACATTTTAATAAGCAACCTGGGAGGTGCTGAAATCACAAAGTTCGTTATCCAGAATGCATCCACTGAGCTCCTGCCTCAGCAACGGGGAGCTGAAGAGCTGCTGAGCATCATCCAGCCAGTCCTGGTCAGTGTGCACCCTCTGTGGAAGGCTGCAGACATCATCCCCTTCGTCCTTCTGGAGAAGTCGCATGTCATAAACTGCTTCCTGGAGCAGATGAGGAGGGAGGGGCTCTATCCTGACCAGAAGCACATTGAAAATTTGGCAAATCAGCTCAGTTATTACACTACAGGGGACAAGCAGTACTCCAGCATGGGCTGCAAGCAGGTTGTGGCCAAGGTCAATCTCCTGTAGGGATTCACTGCAGAGACCAAGCCGTGCTCTCATGATTATCAACCTTCTGTGCTCATGAGGAGTGTGTTCAGGCTGTGCTCAAAGTGTCCTTTCTCAGCCCTGCACTGGCTCTGCCCTGGCCAGGCAGAGGGGTGGCAGCCTGGACTACCCTGTTCTCCTCAGAAAAGAGACTTCACTTTTTCTGATGTTCTGTGGAACAGGAAGGGCAAGGAAGCTGGAGCCACCTCCCAATAAGTGCAGGATGCTTTGTTCCTCATTCTCATTTGGGATTCTTGTCATTAAGGAGTTTGGAGGTGTCATCAAAAGCTGCAGGATATAAATAGGATGGAACAATCCCTGGGTCACTGCCCCTGCAGAATATGTCACCTGATGTGTCTCATTCTCTCCAGGCTCACAGCTCTTTGCTTTCCCTGGTCCTGGCTGGTGTGTGCAGAGCAGGGGCAGGGCTGGACACCTGGCACTGGGACAGTTTGTGCTCCTGCCCCCGAGATGTGCAGGCCTGCCTTCCCCAGCTCCTACGTGACCACATCCTCAGGAGAACACTTTCTGGACCTGTTTCTGAGCTGTTGCTCTTCTGATCTCATCCCTGAGCTCACCTTTGGCACCTGCAGTGAGATTTCTGCCCTGCAGGTGTGTTTGGGCTCGCCTCAGAGACTGCTCACCTGTGCCAGATGGTGCAGAAATAACTCTGGATTGTTTCAGGTCTGGTGGTGACACCTCCTCCTCAGAGCTCTTCTGCTTTTTGCCTCTGGGGACACGTCACTGTGGGCAGTCATTGTCTAGATAGCCCATAGCAGCAATGGATGGATATTAAGCAACACACACTGGAAAAGACAGTTTGGGCTGATGGAGTGGGAATCCTGGGCTTGTACCCAGTCCTGAGAGGCCAAGGAAAGGCTTTGCCATTGAGCCGCAGGTGAGATGCGGCCTGGGAGTAGCTTGGGAAGAGCACACAGCTATGTTTTGAGCAAAACTGGGCAGGTATTTATGACATTCTTTTCTCAGGTTGTGGTTTTGTACAAGATTTCTACAGCTTGCTGTGAATTCCCAGACAAGAAACCCTGTGGATGTTTGCACTGGGGTTTTGATTCACCTCTTTCTAATTGTTGGTCTCCAAAGACTCTGTCACATACTCCAGCTTCCAGAGCTATTGTCAGGAATAAACTCAGACTATCCTGAATAAAAGAATTGAAAGTACATTTCTTTCATTTGATTGAAATTTGGATTTCCTCCAAAATTTCCCTTCTGGAGCCATGTACCCCTGGTAAGCCTAATCCAAACCCACACAGTGCAGGAGTGCCAAAAGCTGGGTGCTGCACAGCTCCTCCATCCAAGCCACTTCCTAAATTTACGTGTCCTCAAAAACCATCGTGTGGGAGCTGGTTTCCACAGCTTAGAGAGCTTAACTTAAGCAGTAAGCTGAGCTTACTGCTAAGACATTTGGGATGCTTTTATCCTGGATGAGAAACAACTCAGGGACCGGGATCCCCCTCCTCCTCCAGCTGGGAGAGGGGAGATGTTAGTTCTGATTGTCTCAACAATGTTTTTGTTTATAAATGCCACCCACGGGGTGTTTGGTTGTGCCAGAGATCCTTGGGTGCCTCCACACCAACCATCAGCCTGTGCAAAAGGGGAGGGTTACTTTGAATGGAGCTGAGCATCTGCAGAGTTTGTTTCTACCCCTCTAAGGCTCTCCTGCCCTAAATCAGGGCTCCTAGCCATTCCCTGAGCCTGAGTTTTCCTGAGTGCCCTGTGCACCTTGAAGACTTGCTGGAGTTTTTGTGTCTCACAAAGCTCCTCTCAGTGCACAGAGGTGGGGCTCAGCTTCCTGCTGCCTGAGCACCACCTCATCCCTCAGCCTCTGGAGGCTCTTGTCAGACAGCACAGGAATCCCCAGGCTATGGAGAGGACTTTTCCTGCCAGAAGATAGGCTGCAGGACTGGAATCCCAGCTCAAATGGCTCTTTACGTTATCCCCAAAGGCTTTCTCTGCTGGCAAAAGCTCTTTCTGAGTCAGTCACATCTCTGTGGTGCTTGGAGCAGTGGTTTGGGGCAGGCTGCTCCCTCCCTGCTGCAGAGCCTGTGTTTGATCCCTGTTCAGCAGCTCTGGGACGGCTGTTCCCTGTCACTGCTGCCTGGGGCTCCTGGGGACACATGCAGCTACTCTGCACCCTGCAGCTGCATCCCAAAGCCACAGTGGGGTTTGGGCCAAATTCCCTTTTTGCATTTGCCCTGGGGCAAGTGCAGGGTGATTCCAAACAGCTCTGTAGTGAGGAGGATGCTGTTACTGCCCAGGAGAGCAGGCAGTAACAGAGGGAAGAAGGGTAGGAGGGAATAGGAAATAATTCATGTCTTGAGAGCACAGACTGTGTCCCCACTGGCCACTCTGGGCTGCAGCTCTCCCAGGGCTGGGTCAGGACAAGGGGGCCCGTGGGCAGGAGCTCCAATTGCTCTGGTGTGTGAGTTGGGAGGGTTTTTTTATTCCATACAGTGATTATGAACTGCTCTCCCCAGGCCTTGGAGCGCTCTGGGCAGGAACTGGGGCTGGGGTTCCCAGGACTCTCCTGCACCAAGGATGGGATGTGCCCTGTTCTTCTCCATGGACGTGCCCAGCTCCAGCCACAGGAAGGTGGGTGGGTGCACGTTCTGCAGGAGCTCTGGATAACTTCAGCTGCCTCAGGGAAAAGAGCTTTGGATTTAAATATTCCTAAAAAGGACCTAATCCTCAGCAGCCTCCCTCAATCAAAGCAGCCTGTCTGAAGCTGCCTCCAGAGAAGGGGGCTGGCTGGTGGGGCCAGCCTGGCTGCCAGGCTGAGTCCTCCTGGGGTTTCCCTCACCATGGGAAGGTGTGATGGCCCAGGACCAGAGCTCTGTTACACAGCATCACCCCAGCCTTGCTGGGCTTGCCTGGTCCCTGAGCTCCCCGAGTGCTGCTGGGGCTGCTGCCATTGCTGTGTGCCCACCCAGCAGGACCTTGTCCTCTCTCCTGAGGCTTCTGGCTGTCCCTGAAGATCTCTGATGTTGGCCCAGGGCACCTGAACCGTGTTTGCAGAGAGAGGCGGACAAAGGGGTGCAGAGGGATCCCATCTCCACGTGCATCAGTGACTTGTCCCTGTGCTAAGGGCAAGGAAAAGCTGCTGCCAGTCCCTAGAAGGGATTAATTGCTTTCTTTCCAACTCCTGTGGTTGTCACTAAACAGGTGAGGTGCCACCAGGAAAGCAGATTTTGATCCCAGTGATGGCAGGGAAGATGAGGGCTGCAGCAGAGGAGAAAAGAGCAAGGACAGCCCAGGTTAGGTCAGGGCTGCAGTTCCTGCCAGGGTGCAGAGGGAATGTCTGCAGTGGCTTTGAGACCTTGCAGTGATGGGGTGAGTCCTGGAAAGGTGGAGGGAGGACAAAGCAGCCCCTCTCCTTGGGAAGGAGGAGGAGGGACAGGCAAATGCAGGAGTGAATGCATTACCTGTGAGCATCCTGGAGAGATGGGAGAATTACATCCAAGGTTTATCAAAAACAGTTGTAACCACAAATCTAGTTTCTTCCTCTCACAGGATATTCAGAGAGTAGCTGTTAATAGTTACTGGGATGAACTGGAAAGAGTTTTCCAGAGCTGGGGAAACGAAATATTCCATAAATGGTGGGAGAACAGAGTCAGACAGACGGACGTGGTTTGTCTGCCCATGGAATTTGGAGGGGAAGGGGAGCTGAGAGGCACCCAAACACTGCAGGCTTGGGATGGAAATCATAAATTGGGGGAAAGGTCTGAAAGAAGGTGCTGCAGAGGAGGGTGTGTGCGAGCAAATGCACGTTCCAGGACGGGGAGGGTGAAGGGCTGGAAGGAAAACAAGCCTGGGGGCATCGCAGCGCTCACACTCCACAGGAGGGATAACACCCCGGGGCCCGAGAACGGCAAACATCCCATTAAAATGTATAAATAGGTGTGCTGCATATGCAAGGGATGAAGTAATGCCGGGCCACGCCGGAGCAGTGTGGCACCATATTTGGGCACCTCTCGGGCAGGAGCGAGGGGGACCGGGGTGCTGCACCCCAGCATCCTGCCGGGAACCGAGCGCGGACGGGCGATGGAGCCCGGGGAGGAGTTCCAGGTGAAGCACGATAAGAGCTCTCAAACATGCAAAACACCATCAGAAAGGAGACAGCGGTGCTTGGTTCTCCCAGCCCTCCTTGGGCAGGGTGTGGAGCTGGCTCCGGAGAGGGAGGTTTATGTAAAACTTTGGGGAGACTGCTGCAGGCACCAAAACGGGTCGAGGAGAGAGGCTGCAGAGCTGCTGCTGCTGACCCCGGCACTGAGGGTGGTTTGGGCACAGACCCAGGGCTCTGCTCAGGGGTCTCGGGAGCTCCTACTTTGCCTGTGCTGTCACCCCTCCAGCTGGAGCTTCCCCCTGCCCAGCACTGAGCTCCGGCTGGCAGACTGCACCAACTGAACACCATTCCTCTGGAAGAGATGTGCTTCAGCTCCTCAAACATCTGCGTTTAGGTGCAAAGTTTCGGGCAGCTGCATCTGAAAGCTGCCAGGGTGGTGAGATCAGCGAGTTGGTGGATGGATTGGTTTCCAGGTGGGATGGGTTAGAGGGAAAGCAGCCAGCACTGAAACCACAGTGTGCAGATTCATGATGTCATAAACTAATCTGGAAACTCGGTTACTTCCCCTTGACACTTTCCCCTCATCAATTCAGTTTAATGGTATATATTAGGTATTATTTTAGATCTACCTCAGGGGACTTGGAGCCACCCCCAGGAAGTGCCTGCGGAAGGAGCAGCCCTCCCCAGCACACTTGGTGTTCTCCAGTTGCAGATGTGGAGCTGCTGTGGTCTCTCCCTGGGCAGTGTGGCATGTGACATCAGCTCCTGCTGCTCCCCCAGCTCTGGAGGTCACAGCAGAGCCCCTCACAGCTCGCTGCAGGACACAAACAGTCCAGGATCTTCTGTGGATGCTAATTTGAGTTTTGTGCTTCCTGTGATGTCTTATCAGTTGATCCCTCAGGCTGGAATTCAGCTGCTCTAATTTTGGTAACTTGAGGAAGCCTGAGTAAGTCTGCCTGGGATTTCCCCATCCCTGCCTCCTGCAAAAAGCCTGTCCAGGAACCCAGGCCTGGGAAAAGACCACCTGGAAAACCTCCCCTGAGGTGAGTGGATATTTTTGTGGCCAGCAAGTGATATGTAAAAGAATGTAAAGCATTAATTGCAGCCAAACCTTCTGTTTTCACCTGTACCTTTGCCCCTCTCCTGCTTCTCACTGTCCAAATGCTCTCACTCAAATCAGACCCATGTGGTATCTTTCCTGTTCTGAGAAAAAAAAAAAAGTTTAAAAAAATTCAAAATCCTGCAAAAAGACATTCCCAGAATTCATGGTTTCCTTTTAAACTCACTGAGCCACCCAACACAATTTTTGTGCAGCAGAAGCTGCAGGCTGAAATCAGGGAATCCTGCGCTGCACTCCCACCCAGCCATCCCCAGCTGCCAGGTTCTCCAAAGCTGTGGCTGCAGGAGTTTGTGCCCTCTCAGCTGGCACCACCTGATGTTTTTATAGCCTGTGCTTTCCCTGACACATCAACTGCCCAGTTCTTCCTGAGATGATTTCATGTGGGATCAAGGTCCCTGAGCCAGGGGCTTGCTCTGCCTTCTCTGAGGGCCTGCATCTCCCTGGCTGCTGTGGGGACCTTGGAAAGTCACCTCTAAGCTTTTCCTTCCAGGATAAGCTGGGCCTTGGCTTCAAGGGTGTTGCTGCTGTGTCCAAGTGAAGAAGTGCCTTGGGTGTGATCCAGCTGTTCTGGATGATGGAATGAGCATTTCTGCCCCTCCCTGCAGATCCTGCAGCACAGACAGCACAAACAGCTCTGCATTCCTGGGAGGCTCGAGGTCAGAACACGATGCTGAGCGTTGCAGAACTCTTTGGCCTGACGTGACCTGGTGTCCTCAGCTCCATCTGTGCATGGCCTCCATCACTTCCAGCTGCAAAAGCCACTCCTTGGTACTTCCTTCTGCCAAACATCCAGCTCTGAGTGCTGCTCCTGATGCAGCCACAGTTCAATTTTTGTCTTTGGTGGTCAGTGAAATGCTCTGAAGTCTCTGGGTGAGAAAGGGTGGATGAAATTCAATTCTTTGGATCCAGCTAACAGGTGTTTTTGTTTCTCCTTGCTCTTGGTGGGCAGATCTGCTGCTTG